AAACCACGTGCCTCGACACAACATTTAAATGTTGCTTGAACACCTCCAGGATCAATGACTCCACCACCTCCCTGGGCAGCCCATTCCAGTGCTTGACCACTCTTTCAGAGAAGTAGTATTTCCTAACGTCCAGCCTGAATCTCCCCTGGCACAACTTGAAGCCATTTCTTCTCATCCTACCACTAGCTATTCAAGAGAAGAGGCCAACAGCCACCTCACTACAACCTCCTTTCATTATAGAGGGAGTTATAGAGCAATGCTGAGCAATCTTGAGCAATGCTCTTTCTCTGCTGTCCTCATCCCTGTTCTCATCTAAAGCCATTGAACAGGGAGGGACATAATAAGGAGGTGTGATATTTGCAAGATTAGTTTGGCTAATGATGGTAACCTGCCCAGGGCTTTTGTCCTGCAGATGATCTAGAAAGTGCCACAGCCATGGAGCTGTAGGAGCAGCCTCCTCTCAGCCTGCTCTGCTTTGGGCTGAGCCTAGCAAGGGACCTCAGCCCCTCCCCATACACCTTGCTCTCCAGACCCTTCCCCATCATGTCTATAAGTATCTGAGGTGCAGGAGGCAAAGGGACGAGGCCAGACTCTTTTCAGAGGTGCGTGATGACAGGACAAAAGGAAATGTCCACAAACTGAAGCATAGTACAAATGTGTTTAAGAACTTCTTCACAGTAAGGGTGACAGAGCACTGGAACAAGCTGCACAGAGAGGTTGTGGAGTCTCCTCTGGAGACATTTCAGACCTGCCAGGACACCTACTTGTGCAACCTGGTGTAGGGAACCTGCTTTGGCAGGTTGGTTGGACTAGGTGATCTCTAGAGGTTCCTTCTAGCCCCTACAATTCTGTGATTCTGTGATCATTATATCCCTCCTTTGGACACTCTTTATGTCCTTATATTTGTCTTCTTTACTAAGGCCAGTTGGGAATTCTTTGCCTCCCTGAGTTGCAGTGTAAGGTGGAAGCAATCCACAGATGGCAGAGAATCATACAGGAAAAGCAGTTTTGGACCGCTGTCCTCTTATTTATGCTTTGCTTTTGCCAGCATTTGATTCTCTAGCAAGGACACTTTTTTTTTCCTCCTTTAGGAATTTCCAAAACGAATCTTGTTTTTTCTGGGCCTAGAGCAGTATTGGGCTTTAATAGTTGTTAATGATTTAACTGTCTGTTGTGACATAATTAGAATGTCTCTTAACATTTCACCCCCAAGAAAGAAATACCTTCTAGGCTGTAGAACATGACCTACAGCTTCTTTTATGAAGTGGTGATGGAAAGATTTCTTCCAGGCTCAGTCACATCCACCTCTCCTGTCAATATAAAGCACTCCTCAGCTGTGTCCCTAAATAGCCTTGCTCGTTCCTTCTCTGCTTTTCACTCCTCACTATTTCACATGTGTGCTTAAAGAGCTTTTGTCGAGACTAAAATATATCTTTACTAATAAAGTGTTACTAAAAAGCCCTGAGAGCTTAGCAAAATGACTTGTAGAGAGCCATTACTTCTTACTGCAGGATTTGGGCTGCTTCTGTTTTTGATGGTGGGGTTTTTTTTTGTCCCATGCTATATTCTTTTCATCTTGGGCAAATGTTTACAAGGAAAATAGATTAGCTCAAATTTAATCAACAAGTTCCTTGTGTTATGGGAAATGGTCTTATAACAGATTGGGACAGAGCTGTCATACCAGAGCAATGCAACAGCACACCATTCAGGGTTAAGGATAAACTAATATAATTAAAATAAAATCAGATAAGACTGCTTATACTTTTTTTGTTGAACGTTTTCTAGCAGAAAATTATTCTTTCTCATTGCTTTAAACTGATCCAAAATTTGGCCTGAAATTTTGTGGTTCGGGTTTTCTATATCTCTCATATTTAGAATTTTAATTAATAGTTAAAGGTAGTCAGTGTTTTCCAAAATGGAGTTTTGGGAAATATGTTTCCCTGGGACAAACTTATTTTAGAAGGTTTTGTTATATCCTTGTGCAGCATATATGTGGACAGAGCTTTACAATTTAACAGAAAAGGAATGGATAAAGGAGACATGCTTTTTTTTGCTATCTTTATGAGAATTTGGCAAAAAAAAAAAAACCCTTTAAGTCTATGGAAAAAAAAAAATTAAAAAATGGTGTTGGTCCTGCAGCTGTGGGTGCAAGTTGCACTCAGCTATGGGAACTGAGAGGTCAAATGCCTGTAAGGCTTCCCGTGCAGAGCCCAGAAAAGTCAAGGAAAATAAGCAGTAACATTAATGTGGACAATGTAAAAGAAAGATCTCCAGCAGCTGAGGGGAGAAAGGGCTTGAAAAAGATGAGTGAAATCAACTGAAGATTAGTCGGAGGCATGGGAAATGTTATGAATAAGCAAAGCTCCTTGAAAAATTATGTCCTAAAATAAAAGGATCTTGCCCTTGGGAGAAATTATCCTGTTGCAGATTTGGAAATGGTTTACCATGTGGATTAACCTTGATTCAAGAAACTACATTGTGCTTTTATTATTATTATTATTATTATTTTTTACCATTTGGGGAATGTGAACTTTCCTGAGATCAGCCAGGCTGTCAGCTGTGGGTTCTGTCTCTACTTCCTTGCCTTAAAATGAACCCATAACCACACTGATGTCTGGAATGGTTGTTTAATGGTTTAAAGAGTAAAGATACTCTTTAAATGGTTCTATTGTCTTGAAACTTCCGTAGAAATATTAGGACCTTGGTGTTAAGTGAAAGGTTTAAAGTTTTTTCTGGTCTCGTGTGAGCATGGCTTTGATGGGTGTACTAAGAATATCTATAAGTAAAATATATATAAATGTAGTATGTGCATAGTGCAATAATTACCCATTTACTGAGCAAGTTAGAGATCCTGCTGGGGAAAAATATTTTTTCATTAATTGTACATGCATACCTGGGAAAACTAAATCATAGCATATGCAAGTTGTTTAGTCCTTAAATTTCTGATGGTGATGTGTTTTCAATGTGCCATGATGTCTTGGGGCTGTTATGAGTCACAGGACTGCATTATTTGTTTGCCAACTTCTCTCCACAATGACAAGACATTGTTTATAATCTCAGTTTAGCAGTCACTCTCTGTTAACCTCAACTGGGGATAATTACCAGAGTTTGCTGTGTTTACTATTATAATGTATGCTGTTTATTATTGTGTATTCCTCAAGGTCCCTATACTATGGTCTGTAGATCCTATCTGGTGATCAGAACAATTTGCCCTACCTGCTATGTGCTAATGTCTTTCTTCACTAATTAGGGCACTGAAAAGCTTGCAAGAGCTATGCAATCAATCTGAGGCTATAGATTCCCTACTAGCTCCCAAAGGATACCTACAACCAAGTGTTGCATCCATCACCTCACCAACATACAGGATTGTCCTCTTCACAAGACAGGGCTGGTTAAGTGCATGGGGGCTATAAAAAGGACAGTGTTACTGAATCTCATAAGAGAGGTAAACAGAATAGGAAGCATTATCCTGACTTGCCAGCCAGGGCAAGGTCATAAAATGTTAACCTAAATATCAGAATACAGGCTTGGTCCTTTCTCTCTTACCCTCCAGTGAGTCTGTTTATGGTTGAGTGTGATGGTTGCTTTACGGTCTTTAAAAAAAAAATAAATCTATGTGAGGCAAAAACAATAGTGAATGTAAATTTGCAGTGATAGAGCAAAATAAAGGAACCTCTCTGCAAAGGGTCTGAAATAAAAGCCACCATACGGTCTTTGAAATTCTCATTAGGAATATTAGACTGCTGCTGGATGCTAAATTGCTTAATGACCTATTAGCATCCTCTGCTGACAGAGCAAAGGTTCTGGCATCGTTGAAGTGGACAAGGACATACAGATGTTTTAAGATAGTCTTCAGTTTTAAGCAGAGATTTCCTGGTTTGCTTTGGAATTAACTGAGGTTAAAAGAGGATTCTGTAGCAAAACTGTTGTCTCATGCATTCAACTTTCAGAATGCATCCAGTTATCCTTCCAGAAATGAAGGCTGCAAGTGTATAAGAAACATCATTTAATGGGTGAAAAAATTTGTTAAAGAGAGATGCAGCCATGGTACAACCATGTACTTCCCCTAGGAGTCATTGTAAACTCATTTAAAGGTATAAGCAAAGAGTTGCCACTAGGCAGAGTTACTGGGGAAGGGAAAGAATAATTTCCTGCCTTGCATACCTGACAAAAAGATCCTCTTACTGAAAGCATCTAATTTTTTTCCAAACCCAAAGAAAACATTTTGGTGTGAATAACTGAAAAGCAAATGGAGAACTAAGGTGAACCACTAATTATCTGCTATGGGTGTAGGACAGTGTGGTATTTGTATTTCATTAAAAAAAAATAATCTAGAAATCCACACTTTCGTAAAAGTCACCAGTTCTGTTGGTGATTGATTTTGGAGGAGAGGATGGAAGATGCATTACTGAGTTCCATGAGTTCCCTGGTGAAAGTCTACTCCAGCTCTGCATGGAAAAATGGATGGGCTCTGGGAGGGTTGCAAGGGAATGCAATAGTGGGCTGTGAAGTGTGGATGGAGGAGTTCCCTGGCACTTCAAGGCACTTGTGTAAGAGGCCAAAACTTCTATGGAACAAAATAGCTAGAGAAGTAGAGCTCTATGGGTAATAGCAGTACAGAGAGGTGTAAACCATTTAACATAGAATTTCAAACCACTGTTAGGGCTCATTACACCACTTAGGGAAAGGTATGAAAAGTAGGTAATATCAGTAATATCAACATAGTCTTCCCAATTAAATGGAATTTTTAGTTGGAAGATAGAGAACTCTGGACAAATGCAATTGTTTTATCAGGAAGGTGATTATATTTAAGGAGATTTCCCTTGAAAAGGGAGAAAAGAGGTCGTTCAGAGGAGTGGATCATTATGAACAAAGACACAATTTCTCCATGTTGTTTCATGTTGTTTTGTTTCAGATAGTCTCATTAATGGAAAAATAGCAAAATACACTCCATCTTCCTATTCAAATATCCATGCATTTATTTCTTTCTCTTCTTTCAGCTACGAGCCAGGAAGATGAAGTGCTGCCTCCTCTCTGCTGCTGTGGCCGTTCTGCTGTTCATCGTCATAATCATTGCAGTCTCAGTCAAAAGCTGATCTGATGACTTTTTCCACAGGTAAAACCCTTAAAAATCTTTGTGAGATGATTGGGAGACAATTCAGGAACCTGGAAATGCTAAGAAAGATTTATCTTGGCTTGCAGGTTCAGGTCTGGCCTAGGAAAATTATTTCCTTTAAGGAGTATTTGAGCTTGGAAATAGCATCCTTAGTGAATCCTTAAAGATATACCGAGGTTCTGTTTCAAACTAAACAACTTTTTGTTGTTTTCTCCGCTGCCTTTGTTGTATTTCTTTTTTGATATGAACTTAGAGAAATACTAATGAATGAATCCTAAATCCACTAAATTAGAAGTTCTGAAATGGTATTGAAGACCACAGAATGACAAGCAGAGTAGGAAGGGGGATCCAGCATCCTACTGAGATGTTCCAAAGTGTCCCATAGAGATGTTGGAACCAAACCCTCTTGAGGGGTATGAAGATGCTTGGCTGGAGATAAAGCACAGACAAGAATAAAAAAGGGCTTCTAGTGGTCTTTGCTCTGGATCCACCCCCAAAAGAAGTGTTGGTCTATGATAGAGAGAAGGAGTTGAAAGCTTTCCAAGACAGATGATACATAAAAGCAACTTCATCCCATCTCTGAAGTACGTTTTGTGAAGAAATACGCTTTAAGAGCATATTTTCCTTCTTCTTTTCCTTCTCTCCTCTTTCAGTACCACAGGAAAATGACTCAGTTATTTTACCCATAATCACTATCTGATAAAAAGCATTTCTAGGTGTCTTTTGAAGATTGGGTGGCCATATTCACAGTGGTTATCATGTTTACAGAATATCTATCACCTAGAGGGCTCTGGTCATCTCTGCCACTAGCAGGGTTTCTAACAGCTGAACCCAGAACCCCAGGGTGGGATTTCCTGCTGGCTGCAGTTAGGGCTCTGAGGCAGAAAGCTGTGAAGGATGAGGGCAACTTTTGGTTTAGCAACCTCCCATGTCCCGGCCTCTGTCCTATCACCTTCAAACCTAGTAGATACTGCATTATTCTGAGGCTCACTGCAATCATTTCTGGCAATTTAAGCAGAGATTTTCTAATCTGAATGATCTTCTGGAAAAAAAAACAATGGAGAAAGAAAAAAGAATTGATAGACTTTGGTTATTGCTTCATTTTACAAGAGTTCCTCACTATTAGTATGGCTGTTCTTCCATCTCAAGATGAATTCATTGCCCTTTAATATGTCTTCTTTCTTAATTGTGCTATCAAATGAAATAGCAGGGATTGATTCAAAACAAATACTGAGACAATTCTTCACAAAGTGTATTTGAGCTGAGGAACTCCTTCCAGCATGATGCTGTGGATGGAAAAACTTGAATCTATCATGAGCTCTATACTATTGAATGCTAGGAGAAATGTCCATTAATTGGTTTTCTGCTCTTGCATACATACTAGAGTGTTTGGCCACTGCTAAATGAGGAAGATATCTTTTTATTTAATATATAAAGGGGTCATTTTATATAATATGTATGTGCATATATTAATTCTATATGTGTTTTTATACCTCCTTTACATAAGAGACACTGCTTAGGGATGCAGATAGTGATCTGTCCTGCTGATTTAAATCTAGAGTAGCTACAGTAATTTTATTTGCATTACTCTGGTTTTACTCTGCATAAGTCTGCTTTAAAATGTGATCCCTCATGGCAATTTGTAATATAATAAAATTTGGTTCATATGTGCTTAAAGATTCTCAGCTACTAGAATCACAAATCTTATCAACAGTTGACTAAATCTGGACACATTTTAATTTAAATACTTTAAGTAGATAGTCAGAGAACCAAAATATTCTAACAATAAAACTCCATCAGGAAAGTAGATTTAATCTTCTGTTAAGAGATCCATGTCTTGAGGGAAGTGAACCTAGAGATCTTAATGAAAGCCCTAGGAAAAATATAACTCTGTACTTTTTCTCATTGGTTGGGAAACTAATTATTAAGCTTAAAGCACAAGTTACTCTCCAGCACTATCAGAGAAGGCGAAGTCTGCCTTGAGTTATATGGGAACAAATTTACTTTATAATCATTATAAATTATTCTTAATCCACATTGATCCCAAATGTTGTGTAGCAAAATTCACATTTAGATTTAGAAAATTTAAGAAAACGGAGCATTTTCAGAATTTCCGTGTCCATGATGAACATTTTTTCTATTCTGAGTTGCAGTGCAAATGGATTTTAAAATACAAGTAGATTTAAAGTTTCAGCTACCTCAACAAACTGTTTCATATAAAACCGTCTTGCATACTTTAGGGAGAGAGAGAACAGCTGGCTTTTAATGCATAACGGCTCTACAAGACAGTTCAGAGAAAATAGAGGGAAGAAAAAGAGTTAGGGAAATGGTTACAATATACTCTGAATTGGCAGAGGACACATAAATGAATAAAATCTCAAGTTTAGTAATGACTGGCCAGAACTTCCATTTAACCCATCATCAAACTATTTTTTTTTCTGTGCTGAATCAGAAAGAAACCAAAAGAAGCACCACCAATTACCCATTTGATGTGATTTAAGCCCAATTTGCATTATATCAGGATAGGTTTTTTTAACTTTAACAAGTGCAGTCACAATGAGAAATCTGAAGGTCACTATTCAATGAGTTAAAGGAATGAAATTATGCCTGCAGAATCTATGATCACTAATGATCATTATGATCACTAACATTAAAATTGTCTTTTCTTCCCTATTTCTACTTTCGCATTAATGATGCTGAATCAATGGTTCTTCTCAGAAAGACTAAAAAGCACTTATTTTTTCAAAACAAATCAGACATGAATTTGGCCATTCCTTCCATAGGACAGATCAGTTTCTGAGTCTTGGAAAACAAAGAGCACTTTTCTCAATCACTTTCCCAAGCAGCAGTGACACCATCAGCTGCTGTCTAAGTGCGTGCAGAGAGACCAGCTGTTCAGGAGAGCTCTGAGCCCTGACTTCTGCCTGATGAGCCCCTTGTTGTAAGTATGTCACTGCTCCCTTGGGGCGGTTTTGTCTGGCAGACAGAGGGTAGAGCATCTATGGAAGACGTGAAGAAACTCCTGAGGCCTTATGTCTTTACGTTTGTTTGCTGACACCTCAGGAAAATAGCCCAGGAGATTTTGGGTCACGTTGCTCATATCGGAGCAACACTGCAGCTGCTCATTTTGCTGTTGTTTTGTCATTGTTTGGTTTTTTTAATTTACATCAGTAAACATCTGAAAAGAACAGTACCACAGTAGCAAGCTAAAGGAGGTCCCTCCTTTAACAATGTCTTTGTCTAGTGTCAGGATTTCTTAGCCTGTGTGGACTTTCCGTGTCATCTGTAGTTTGTGACTCATTTGGATGAGTGCACAATTACCTAAGATGACAATCGAGGCTGTTGGAATCCCAAGTCTAGGGCATTTTTAATAGGAAAAAAAAGAAAGATGTCAAATTTTTAATAAGATGCTACATGTACATTTGGAAAAAAATGCTTTGCAGTAACAACTTGACCATGTATTTATCCAAAGAAAGATGACTTAACTGTTTTGCACCCTTTTCTTGGCAGAAGTCGTTGCAGCAGAAGGTGTCTTCCCTTCTTCTAAGACACATTTCAACATTTCACATTTCATCCAGGAATCATAGAATCACAGAATAGCCTGGGTTGGAAGGGACCTCAAAGGTCATCAAGCTCCAACTCCCCTGCCACATGTAGGGCCACCAACATCCATATCTAATACTACACCAGGCTGCCCAGGGCCCCATCCATCCTGGCCTTGAACAGTGTTCCAGCACCTAACCACTCTCTTGGTAAAGAACTTCCCCCATATCCAACCTAAATCTTCCCTCCCTCAACTTAAAACCATTTCCCCCTTGTCCTGCCATTATCTACCCTTTCAAAGAGTTGACTCCCCTCCTGTTTGTAGGCTCCCTTTAGGTACTGGAAGGCTGCCATGAGGTCAACCTGCAGCCTTCTCTTCTTCAGGCTGAGGTTGTAGGCGAGGTGCTCCAGCCCTCAGGAAGTTCTTGACAACCACTAATGCATTCCTTTCTTGCTAATATGACCATTCTGAAACATTATAAACTTTTTAAAAGTATACTGAGGAGGGAGTTCCACTCTTAATGCAATCAGCATTTAGTCCTCAATGTACAGTTAAAAAAACCCAACATATTGGCCAACATGTCTACTGCATGACTGCAGTACATATGGAAAAGCAATAGTCAGGCTCCAAATATCCATTTTCTAAACATGTAGTTGTCTCTTTTTGAATTTAAATTGAATTAATCATTATAGAAAACTGGAAAATATTGTCTTAATTTGTTTATTTTTTCTCCTTTGCAATCATAATTTTCTTTGCCTAATTAATTTATCGGCTTATTATGTGGATAAATGTTTTCCTCATCCTGACCAAAGAGAATGAGATTCAGGCAGCTGATTTTATACAGTCTGTCTTTAGTTTTTGTTTTTTCTTTACTTTTTTTCAGTATTCTGTTTACTACAGCATCCCTGTGGGCCTACCCCTGGTTCTTTGCAGTGCAGGAGGAGTGATAAAAGTTCCAGTTGCAGTCACTATGAGTGCTTGGAGGAGCAGAGGAATGCCCCTTCATGCCATCCATCCTAGGGATGTAAAGAGCATCTTCATCTCAAAGCTTTATATCTTCAAGTTTGAGACCAAGACAGCAAAATATATTTTTGTTGGGCTCTTGCTGGATCAGCTTCAGAGCATCTATTCTAATGTCATTTGTGTTGTACTTTTCCCTCATGGCAGCAGGTATTGTTAGGCACAGAGTACCATGCTATGCCAACAGGAAACACTTCCTAGACAGGACACATCAGTAACACACCAATAAATGCAATCAGAGCCCCTGTCTATTGGTATAATGAGGGCTGTTTATGGCAGAGAGGGAAGCATTAAGAAGTGGCTTTGTGTTCAGCATCACAGTTCAGTCATTCCTGCCCATCAGGGTACAAGTCTGGGCACCCTTTTCAGACACATGCAATAGGAATTCTGATCTTTGCCTGGTGCATCGTTGGCCTGATGATGTTATGTCACAAGA